AACTCGAAAACAGATGTTGTTGTTCTTAGGTTCTAACAAGTCAGTTCTGACTCAGAGACTCTCTGTATAGCAGAATGCAACACTGTCTGGTCCTATGTGTGATACCAGCATCACGATTGTTACGTTTGAGCCCATTGTTGCAGACACTGTGTCAATCCATCTCCTTGATCTTCTTCCTCCTTTTCAATGACCTTCTGTTTTCACCAAGTATCATGTCCGCTGTCTAAAGGCTGGTCTCTCCTAATAACATATCCCAAGCACGTGAGATGAAGAAGGCTCACCATTCACCCTTCTAAGGAGCATCCTGGCTGTACTTCTTCCACGACACATGTTTGTTCTTCTGACCGTCTGTGACACTGCCAATATTCTTTGCCGGCGCTGTATTTCAAATGCATCATTCTTCTTCGGTCTCCTTTATCCCATGCCCAGCTTCCGCCTGCCTAGGAGGCGATTGAACATATTGTGCGTGGCTTGGGCCAGGCCCACCTTAGTCCTCAAAGTGACATCCTTGCTCCTCAACATTTCCAATGCAAAACATTGCTTGATGTCTTGGCTGCTACTTCCATGAGCATTGACTGTGGAGCCAAGCACGATGAAATCCTTGACAACCTTAATGTTTTCTCATTTATCAGGATGTACCTATCGGTCCATGTACCTATCGGTCCACAATGCACTTGGGCTTTCGTTGCATTGTGTTGTAATCTATGCTGAAGGCTGCCCGCTTTGATCTTCATCAGCAAGGGCTTGAAGTCCTTTAATTCCCACAGACACGGTTGTGCCATCTGCATACTGCAGGGTGTTCATAAGCCTTCCTCCAAACCCGATGCCGCGTTCACTAGTTTCTCAAATTACCTGCTTGGTATTTGGATGGATTCGTATGGTGAAAGGCTACAGCCCCTGTGCACACCTTTCCTTCTTTTAAACCGCACGGATACCCTTGTTCCGTGTGTTTGGAAGCTCCATTCTTCTCCACCTCTTGCTTGGCTTCTTATGATCTATAGAGCAAATAAAACACAAGTCAATCGCTTTCTGGTATCCTCTGCTTTCAGCCAAGATCCATCTGACATCAGCAGTGACAGCCCTTGTTTCACGTCGTCTTCTGAATCCAGCTTGAATTTCTGGCAGCTTCCTGGCGATGTTCTGCTACAACTGTTGTCGAATGATCTTCAGCAAAACTTTACTGACATGTGAGGTTAACGATGTCATTCGACAGTTCCCACATTCTGTGGCGTCCTTTTTCTTTGGGATGGGTACAAGCATGGATCCCTTCCAGTCAGTTGGTCGGGTAGCTGTCTTCTAGATTTCTTGGCATAGATGAGGGCGTGTTTTCAGTGCTTCATCAGCTTGGTGAAACCTTTTGTTACTCCATCCATTCCTGGAGCCTTGTTTCTCCCTCATGCTTTCAGTCCGCTTGGACTTCTTCCTTCGGCGTCACCTCTTCTTGGCCATAGGATCCCTCTTGAGATGACTGAATGGTAACTGGTTCTTTTTGCTGACTTTGTGATCCCTTCCAGTCCTCTTTTGAGGCTTCCTGCATCGTTCAATCGTCTCACCCCTAATCCAGGTATTGGACATGGAATTGTGTCCTTCCAATAGCAGCAGCTCTGGTGGTGCTGTTGGGGAGGCATGGGACTACGAATGGAAAGGCCATTGGTTCAAACTCCACCAGCTTCTCAGATGGAGAGAGATGAGGCTATTCGCTCCTGCAAGGATTTACAGCCTCAGAAACACCATGCTAAGGTGTCCGACTGTGTGGATCATCACAAACTACGGATAACTTTGAGGAGACGGGGACTTCCAAAAGACTTCATTGTGCCCTTGGGGAACCTGTACATGGATCAAGAGGTGGTCAGTTGTTCAAATAGAACAAGGAAACACTGGGTGGTGTGGTTGGAAGGGGTGCCAGCCCCACCCCACTAATCATGGGTTCGATAGGCACAATTGTACGGTTGAGACATATAAATATTATATTAAAGTTATTGAGAGCATGAGAGATAGAAATAATGGAGTCAGACACATTTCATGGTAGCAATGCTCACCTCAGCCCCACTTGGAGGTCCATGTGGAGAGATGGGGAGGGGAACAAGGACAAGGGGAAAGGGAACAGGGGAGCGAGGATGGGAGAGAAGAGGGGGAGCCAACGACAGGCCACGAAAGGAGCCTGAGAGAGAGATCTTTATTGCTAACCCAGGCCTATATATCTTTGGCAGGGAGTGCAAGCTCACTAATTACAGGTAAAGACATACGTCACAGGAAGGGGTTGCACGATAGGTTATACAGCAATGAGAGGGGGACAATCTAGAGACATACACACAGTAGGAAGAGGAGGGGTTGGGGGTATACATGTGGCAAGATGAGTGTATCCTAAATTCAGGATGGCAGCCTAACTTGGATGTCACTGAGCCCTGTTGACCTGTTCCCTGGCTCAACTGATAGATTATCAGTAGGGTGTGAACTCCACCTACAAGAACTAAACTTAGGGTCACAAGCTTCTTGGGAGAAGTAGCCCATTATCCTTAACAGCAGGGAGCAGGGCCTACCTGTCTGGCAATTGAATGTTTTCAGGGAGGATGTCTCTAAGCATCTGACCTCCCCCCATATGCTGGCAAAAAGCTCCTAATGTTTGGCATGTCTTTGGGGGAGAAAGTCTCTTTATAATCCCACAGGGTGGTTTAAAATCAGGAGAGGTGTGCACCAGGGTATCTTTCCACCATCCTTACTCAATCCGTATGTTGAATAAATATAATCTGAGAATCTGAGAAACAAGAAGAATGAGGCACCAGGATTGGAGGAAGGCTTATTAACACCCTTGGACATGCAGACAACATAAACTTGCTGACAGTGAGGAGGCCTGGAAGCACTTGCTGATGACGATCAAGGATCGTGTGGATGGCGACTCAAGGTAGAGAAGACCAAAGTCCTCACAGCTGGACCAGCAGGTGACATCACAATAAAGAAAAGATGGAGGCTGTCAAGGATTTCATCTTGCTTGTGTCCACAATCAATGCTCAGGGAAGCAGCTGTCACAAGATTAAAGGATGTATTGCATGGGCCAATCGACTGCACAAGACCTCTTTAAGGTGTTGAAGAGCGAAGACGTCACCTTGAGGATCAGCATGGGCCTGGACCAAGCCATGGTGTATCCAATCAGACGCATGTGAAAGGTGGACACTGAATCAGGAGGACTAACCAAGAATCAAGACATTTGCATCGTGGTGCTGGCAAAGTGTATGGAAAGCACCATGCACCAGCAGAAGAAGAAACAAACACATGTGTCTTGGAAGAAGAACAGCCAGAAGGCTCCGTAGAAGGGAGAATGGTGAGCCTTCATGGCACATGCTTTGGGCATGTGATTAAGAGAGACCAGTCTCTAGACAGGGGGCATGATACCAGGTCAAAATAGATCATTGAGAAAGAGGAAGATGGCCAAGGAAATGCATTGACGCAGTATCTGCAGCAATGGGTTCAGACATCAACATTGTGAGGCTGGTGTCGGACCGGGAAGTTTCAGTCTGCTGTACGGAGGCTCTCCGAGAGATGGGACCTACCTGCTAGCACCTCCCATGGGTTGAGATCGACTCTACGGACCCCAACTCACTGCCACTGAGTCGATGTAGACTCATAGCAACCCTATAGGCCAGGGTAGGACTGCCCCTATGGGTTTCTGAGACTGTACATCTTTATGGGAGCCGAAAGCCTCACCTTTCTCCCTCAGGGTGGCTGGTGGGTTGAAAATGCCAGCCTCAGTGTTAGTAGGTCACTATGCCACCAGCATACCTTTTGAGAGCACACAATTTGGGAGAACCCCATGGCAGGGTTGGTTTTTTAAAAAAGCTTCACGTGCCACTTCTCATGTAAAATATAAGGCGTTTCACACTCCCATAAAGAGTTACAGTGTCGGAAATCCATTGGGGTAGTTTTACCCTGTCCTTCAGGGTCGCTATGAGACGGCACCAGAACTTTGAGTTTGTTTTTTGTTGAGCTCAGCTACATGTGAACTCACTGTGATTGATAATGCTATGTCAACTTGAAGCTATATAAAGGTGTAGGGTGGTATCCAATCTGTCAATCAGGTCACAGCCTGATGGTGCCTCCTTGTGGGTGTGGCCTTCTCATTAGGAGGGTCCTAGGGAGCCTCCCTCTCTCTCTCTCTTTCCCCTCCTGCTGGCTGGTGACGCTGAGAGCTGCCAGAGTCCTTCCATGTTTCCACCAACCTTGGGTCCCTGTGACTCTGCACCCACAGGCCCGACCCGTGATCTCCCTGCATTCTGCATCATTGCGTGTGGCTGTGTGAGTCTGAAGAGGGATTTGTGGACTAGTATCGGACTTATGGACTCAGGTTGGACTGGGCTGGGATATTTTCTTGCTATATAATTACTCACTGATAGAAGGCTCTTTCTCACACATATTTGCATGTCACTGGATTTGTTTCTCTGGTCCATCCAGGCTAACACATCTACTTTAGAAATAGGGTCTTAGCTGACGCTCTCAGATAAGTTGAAGTGAAGTCACACCAGGTTAAGGTGGGGCCTCATCCTACCTGAGTCATGCCCTGATAAAAAGTGCGGAACAGACTGAGAGAGACACAGGGGAAGAGAGCCTGGGACATCCAAGCGACAGTGTGTCTGCAAAGCAAGCAGTGCCTGCTGCCACCCGAAGCTGGAAGAAGGGGACTTTCGGAGTCAGCAGGGCCCTGCTGACGCCTGGAGTTCAGACTTGTAGCCTCAGACCCAAAGGGTCCATTTCTGCTGTTTCAAGCCACCCCCTTGGTGGTATTTGGTGCTGGGAGCCCCAGGAGATACCAGGATACCAGAGCCTCCTCCCTCACCAGGGGTGCCTGGGCCCTCCCCACTCCAGGCCTGCAGCCCAACCATCACCACTCTGGGACCAGCCTCTGTCACTCCTGGTGCCTGAACGCCATGGTGCCCCTGTCCATGCACTGCTCACCCCTGTGTGGCCACAGGGTGGACTGGGGACAGTGATGGGGAGGTGAGGCCATCTTCATTGTCACTATTTATTTGCCACCTCCTCCCTGCTCGCTCACCCAGTCCTGGCCACATGGCACCCGCCTGGAGCCCCCAGTCCATCTAGGGGCGGGATGCCCCAAATACAGGCTAGGGGTGAAGAATGATGCCGAGACAGTTCCTTGGGGCATGGAAGTGTGAGTTGGGCTTGGGGAGCTGGTGGCCCTTGGAGATGGAATTGGGGCTTTGTCCACCGGGCTGGGGAGTGGGGCCAGCCTGGAGAAGGCACAGAGATGCTGAAGAGTCCTCTGGAGGGGCTGGGTGCACAGAGGGCAGGGCAGGCCCGGCAGGAAGGGCCTTGGGAGCAGGAGAGGGGCGGGGGGAGGGGATGGAGTACCCCCAGGCCCTCTTGCTGCCTCTGTCCCAGACCTTTGGGGACAGGGGTGGCTCCAGTGTCTCTGACCCAGGGCAAGACCTCGCCCTAGAGATTTTCATAGACCAGGCCAAGCTCCTCCTCGGTGTTGACTCTGGGCCCCTCCTTCTGGAAGACAAAGAGAAAGAAAACTAGATGCAGCAGAGGAGGAACCTGCCGCTGCAGTGACCCTCGGGGGCAGATGGACAGATGGCTGTGTGTCCACTGTTGCAGGGAGGCCTGCCTGTGGTCCCTAACCCTGAGGGAAACAGCCCTCATTTCCTCCCAATCTCATCTCCCTCCATTCTGCCCCTAGGTCTGTCCTCAGTCCCCCTCCCCTGCCTGCCTCGGGGGTCTCTCCACATGTGGTTCCCTCTGCCTGGAAGCGCTCCCCAGCCGTTTGCTGGTCCTCCTTACCCATCCCCAGCGCCCCCCGCCCCCCCCCGCAGGATTCAGCATCCCCGAGAGGCCCCCAGGCCCCCCTTCACACCAGGTGCAGATGTCTAAATGTTCCAAGGCTCCCAGAGACAGGGATGTGCCTGTCCCTTCTTCCTAGGCCCTGCTGAGGTGACTCAGACAGTCTCAGGGTTCCAGAGTGGGGGAGCTCCAGTTAGACTCGGGGCAAAGTCTAGAAAGGGCTTCAAGAAGGGACGATTCAGCCAACCGAGTCAGGCTGGCCTTGGGGAAGGGGCACATCCAGCCCTCCAGACCCTCCTCGCACTTCTTAGGAGATGTGGACCCACCCAGCAGGCACAGGCTCCTGTAAGACTTAAGAAACCTTTGCACTTGGCGGTGCCAGCTTGGATGCAAGTAATTGAAGTTGAAGCATCTGATGGGGGTGGGGTGGGGTGCAGGGTGGCTGGATTTACAGGAAAGCGTCATTCTCCACTGAAAGGATCCCAAGGTTTAAACGAGAGTGTGCACCTGAGTGAGCCTCCCAAGTCCCCTCTTCCAGATACCGGCAGGACCCTCGCTGGAGCCCTGGCCTGGCTGGGTGGGCTGACACCAGGCCATTCCCAGCCTGTTGGGGGGCCAGCAGTGTGGCACTCCACCTGCATGGCCAGTGCAGATGCTGGACGTGTAGACATCATTGCTCACATGGCCAGGGCGCCTGCCGGGGCCCTAGGTTCCACCCTCCCCATACAATATCCAACCCTCACGGTCAAGCCCAGGAGGAACTGCGAGGAGACTCGGGCACAGAGAGGCGAGGACATTTGGCCAGGCTGCCCAGCTGCGCACTGGGGACTCAAAGCCGCCAGCCCCGCTGCCTGTGCTCTTAGATCCTGGGCCAGGCGCCAGGAGAGGGATTCAGCTCAGAAGCCAGTGGGCCATGCCCACAGTCCTCTTGAAGTCCCACGAGGTAGAGGAAGAGCCTCAGGGTCCGAGGGGCTCCTGGAGGAGCCCGGCTTGGGCTTGCTGCCCATCCCCTTGCCCTGTGTACCTGGGAGAGAGGGCTTCTTGTGGAGGGTGGGTTGCTGGCCTCGCTCTCGATGAAGGCGTAGACTTGCGTCTCACGGTGCTGCAGGGACTGTGGAGGACAGGCAAGGCAGGGCAGTGCCCGCCAGTCAGTACCTGGCCCTTGACTGTGGGCCTCCCAGGGGACTCAGAGGCAGGCAGAGCCCCTGGGACACAGGCTGGGAGCAGATGCCTGCCCCACCAAGCCACAGCCTGCCAGCTGTACCCGCTCTTCTCTCACTTGGGGTCACCCTGACCCTTGTCCAGTGCCAGCTCCTTGCTGGGCCCTTACCAGCTCCCTCCACCCAACCAGCGGTCTCCAGGAGCACCTGTGCTCAGCCCTGCTGGGGTCTGTCCCGGCTTCCACCTGTGGCAAGCGGAAGGGCTTGGGCCCACGTCCTCCCTGTCTGCCTGACTGGAGGT